CTATAACAAATATTATTGAATATGTATCAAATCAAATTAACTATCTTGAAGAGAATACTATACTTTTTCTTAAATTTTGCATTGAACTTAGTGATGAGGTATTAACCACTGTTCACCATGATATCAAGCTTATAGCAAAGTTATTAGTAGATGAAAGTGAAGAGGCTGATAAATATAGTTGGGTGTAAGTATTACTTAATTTTATAAATTTAAAAATTAAACCAAATTAATATTGTTTTTATTTAAAGATTTACAACTGGACCAACTATATCAGTATGCCATTTAGGAGTTGGTATATTTTATCTAGCATGTTCACAATGTCAAGAGCTTACATGTGAATATAAAAAATCAAATCGCAAGAAAATAACACGTTTTAACTGTTAGAGAAAAATAATTATAAATATTGATTTAGCTGTAAAAGAGGTGATAATAAAGCTTATTCATCATATTTAACATGAAAAACCTGTTGATGTTTCTACTTCATTAGAAGTAAAAAATGAAATAATGAATAATCTTCATTTAAACCCTGCTTAATTATGAGTACATCTTTAGCAGAAATTTGATACTTTATACATAACTTCAAAGCAAATCCATTATTGGTAGATGATATTTTGTCAAAGTCATTATAAATCAAACAAAGATTATATTATTTCTGCCTGTTCTTTTTTGGAAAATACTTGTACAAATAACAATATTTGTTTTAATTGGGAAAATAATTTAATTATTGCAATTGGGTTTACAATTTCTTTGTTTTTTAAACTTTTACCTGCAGTAAACATTCATTGTAATGCAACTTACAAAACGGCTAAAGGCCGTTTTGAACTCTATGAAGTTATTAGTAGTATTGATGGTGCAGGCTTTCTACTTGTATATATGGTATTAAATACTGAAAAAGCAAATCTTGAAAAAAGATTAGGATTGCAAACAAGGGCACTTGCTAGCTTCTTTCGCTCTCTTTATGACCAAGGATTACAACTAAAATATTTTATAAGAACAAAGATTTTGCAGAGATAAATGCTACAAAAAAAATTTGGTCTAGTATAAATGTATATTTATACTAATAGCATTTAGAAAGAGCTATTAAAGAAAAGCTTAAAAGCCAAAAAAAAATTAAACATAGCCAATATCAACCAGAAGAAGCTTTTGCAGAATTTAAGTTTATTGATCTTAATTTTAAGCCTGACCTTAAATTCTCTGAATCTAATTATGCAATATGTTCACAACATCTTCGAGATAAAGTTATTAATCTTATTAGAAAGGTATATATATTGTATTATTTTTTAAAAAAGTTATATAAAAAACAAGTATATATTTATTTAACTTTTTTATTAAGCATTCTAATATGCATTCGAAGATTTCTATTGATGTAACAGGAAAATTTCTTGCAGCTATTGAAATTCGAACAAATGCAGTTTATGAAATGTATAGATTTTGTGTAGAAAATAAGCTTGTATTACTCTGGTCATATCTCTGGCCAGCTTGGTATAAACCAACAAGATGGGTACTTTGGGCCAGATCTGTAAAAACAACATTTCCAATTAATAAAACAAATATAGCAATTGAGGCCCATTGGTGGGTAATTAAGTGTTGTTATCTTTATCAACATAATCGACCAAGACTTGATTATGTTATTTGGATTATCTGTTCATGCCTTCTTCCTGATCAAATTATTCGCTTTGAACAAATACATTTGGATCAAATTGTGCCATGTTGGTTTGATAACTTTAAAAATACTTGGAAGCAACTTGCAATTAAACCAATTGTAGATAATGATCATGAATGATATTTTATTGATCCAATATGTTGAATTTGTAGTTGTCAGATGTTTCTTTGTAGTCGCTTTTTAATTTGTAAGCATTTAGTTCAACATGCTATTAAAAAAGCAAGATCACTTGGTTCTCAGGATATTTGATTAGTATACAGTAACTTTAAACGACAAGAAGACTATCCATTTCTTATTTGGAATGCAAATAATTTACAAAATTTACTTAAGGAAGAATTTAACAATTCTTATTTATTTTTAACACCACAAATTGATATGCAGACTAACGAAGCAATTGAAATACCTGATGATGATATGTTCAATTCAGAAATCTAAACTTGTAAATCTAAAGTGGCAGCTATGAAGCGTTTAGTAGAGCATCTGAATGAGGAACTTTCAGCTAATAATATTCAACATGTTAAGCATGTTGTTGATAATCTAAATAAGTTATTTACAATACATAATGATATTGAGACTGCATAGCATAAACGAAAGCGTGAACCAACATGGCGCAGAACAAAATCTTGAACACTTTTTTTTTTTTTTTTTAACTTTGGTGTATCTTGCCAGGTATTTATTTTAGTAATTAATTCATGTGTACAAATGATGCTAGCTAACTAATATAAATGGTAAGTGATAAACTTTAAGCCTGTCGGCAAATAGCGTATAAGAACTATTTCTAAACGACAGGTGTCTATACTGTAAAACTAATGATTACTGAAACACCTAACCCCACCTAGTTGCTTTACTAAGCCCTAGATATAATAGCTGCACCACTTAATCGTGGAACTGCACCGAACCTCAACATTGAAGCCAGTGACTAACTTTTTGCTAGGGTATATGTCCCACCTATGTATTCACCCAGGCTTCGATAACCTACCGCCACAGCTTAATCTATGTACTTGGAGTTAGGGCTAATCATTGAACTCCTTATCTAACTAGTACTAATTATGCCGCCAAACCAAGTTCGTATCTCAAGCCACCCCTAAGGGTGCTGCTGCTACCCAATCTGACAACCACAACTTTCCTAATTAGACTGTTACCTACTTCTGCCCTTGTATAGGTTCACAACAATCCTGATACCTGCAATTAGACCATCTTCTTACCCAGATTCTTTATTGGTTCCTCCCTTACTTCCAGCCGGCAACTTGGAAAGGTCGGTCTGCCCAGGCTTTAGGTGCCTAAAAAACGCCCTCCCCTTGGTACATACTTTCGGAGTATATGTCCTTTTCCTCTGGTGTGACAACCTGGCAGTTTGGCTGATGTGTCCTCCGCCATTAGGATCTGGTTGCTCGGTTTTCTGATCTTGGGCCCCAGTTCGAATTTAGCCCTCTTGTGATACTATTGTAGATCACTACTACTCCTAACACAGGACTTCCCAAATGGGTTTTTAGTTATGCCGGTTCCTCAGATTTATTGTACCATTGCTCCCATTACTAGATGGTATGACCGAAGTTACAAATTAGATCCAACTGATAAGCATAGCCATTAACCGAACACAAGCCTAATTTTCGAAAATCATTGTCCGTGGGATTCGAACTCTAGACCTGCCACTTGGAGAGGGTGACGACTAGACCACTACACTAAGTCGCCACACCTCTGAACACTATTTTTACAGTAACTTTAAATTAAAATATATTTGGTAATTAATAACAAAGTACTTATATGTAGTAAAACAAATGTTTAATTTTATATGTATATGCAAGTTTAATATTGCTCAAAATATGCAAATAATTACACATCGATGTAGTAAATTTCTTTTATAAAATTTTATTAATGCTAAGGTTTTTTTATATAATGAAAATTTAATATGTATTTTATTTTTATTATATTAAAAATATATATATTTTTTATCGCTATTTTGTATATAATATTATTCTTATAGGTCAAATGATAGACCGTCAATGTTTGGAAATCATGTGTCCGGAAAACGTCACTGACATCCTGATACAGTTCTTTAATAACCCGTTATCGTTAAATCCGAATCCTTAATCTCACATAATCTATGCTTATAACCCTAAGCTAATTTGACCTACGTTAGCAAAGTCTCTCTCATGTTTACAACACCGGTTATTTTATTTGGATTTTGGGTCATTTGCAAATAACTAATGACCAAATTATTTGATCATTTCCGAATGATCCGAGTCATTAAAGTCATTTGGTCATTTATATAGCCAACTAACCCAAATAAAAGATAGAAATAATAAAATCACTCTTGTTATAGTGAAGAACTGTTTATATCGATATAGTGAATTTACTAATAGACTCTTGACATAATGAAAAAAATCTCACAGCCTACTGTAAAAGTTCATACACAAGACCTGGGTCTGTTTCATTTCACTAATTTTTAAACCTTTTAGCAGACCCAGAAGTACTCACCTAGAGGTTACATAATGAAAAAAAAAAATTTAAAATGTATATACATTTTGTATTTATAATAGGTATTCTAACTATTTGAAAAAAACAACATTTAATTAATAAAGATTTTGTAGTTCACACCCGGGTCTAATTCATGGTGGGTCTGCTATTTTAAGGGATCTTGTATATGAACTTTTACAATAATCATTTCGCTATAACGAGAGTGACTTGTATGTAAATAGGTCAAAATATGACATACTGTAACTAAACTTACGATCTTATTTTATTCTAGATCGAGCAATTTTACTCATTAAAATTTTATATAAAAAAAATACATAATATATGTCTCAAAAATAAATAAGTGATTACTTTGAAAATGGTGTTTAATATTTAGTATATTAGATCCCTTTACTATATTTCTTATATAAAATATTGAAAATAATTATTTCAATAACATAATTACCTAATACTAAAACCTTTGCATATTTGAATTAAAATAATTATTTTAGTATTTAATTTACTTTGTATATAAATCCAAGATTATATAAAGTGTTTTATATTAAAAGGATCCATTTTGCATTTACTTTATTTTGAGATAATTAAGTTTAATTATTTGATTTTTAAATTGATTTAGAATTAATCAATTTGATTGGTTAAAAATAACAAATAAATATTGAATTATTTTATAAAATATACTTGGCTTTAAATAGCTTTATGTAATTTTTTTTTTTTGGTATTAAAGTTTTTTTTTTTTTTTTGATCATGTCACAACTTTATTTGAATATAGACTTTATATTTTCATAAAAATGTAATTTCTATTTATAGCTAAGCTATTTTTAAAATTAAAGTGTGGCTCATCTGGTTGCCTATTAGTACCTATGTGCGATCTACCAAAGTAGAATTAGCCTTGCTGTTTTTTCTTTATTTATCATAGATATCAAATACACAGTTCATAAGCCAAGATTTACAGCCTGTCATGATCTATTTTAATTTTTATTCCAACTGAACCACCTTCCGGTTTATACCTATCTATCTACTTCTTCTATTGTTATATCTACTTCTTTTTTA